ATGTAATATATATAATGCATAATTTAATAATTTACGGGAAATGATATCTCGACGAAGAATCAACATGTGATTTAATGCAGTTTAATAATTTCATGAGGCATATCACAGTAGGTTGATTAATATTATGATTGATATTTGTATAAGTTAAAGGGAATAAATATCACGGTCATTTTCTTTATTACGTCCTATATTACGTAAGTTTGTCGCTAACGGGGGGTTTCCGCGCAATAAAACCTACATATTTGCATTGTATAGAGTGAGAGGAATCCAACGATACCAAAATCGTCGATATCGGTTATGCGGACGTAATATAGAAAATTACCAGTGATTTAATGCAGTTTAATAATTTCATGAGGCATATCACAGTAGGTTGATTAATGTTATGATTGATATTTGTATAAGTAAAAGGGAATAAACATCATATTCCCGTTATACTTCTTCTGGTAAGAAAAAAAAACTGAACTGATAAGAGCTTTTGTATCTTCAAAAAACACTTTCATCAAACATCTTTTTTTCCTCGTTACGCTATATTGGCTATATTGCTCTATATCTCTAGTAGAAAAGGTATGAATGAGACAGGATATCTTCACAATACAAGAGATGTATTTGGCCGGTTTCGATTACGTCTTCATCAGAAATACATGATGTATTTGACCGGTTTCGATTACGTCTTCATCAGATATACGTGTATTTCTGATGAAGACGTAATCGAAACCGGTCAAATACATCTCTTGTATTGTGAAGATATCCAGTCTCATTCATTTTTCTACATTTGTCATGGATAAGGTTCAGCTATATATCTCTGTTATCTTTCTGACATATTTCCCCCTACAATACAGGAGGGGAGTTTAAGTTGTTTTTTAGAATGATTTTTGTTTGTTTCTTATTTAATGGCGTCGAAGATTATTTTACTGTTTTTTTTGTGTGTTTTTTTCGCTTTCGTTGTTTTTTTTTTTTGGGGGGGGGGGCATTTATTGCTTTAAGTCCTAGTAAATAAAAAAAAATCTTAGATATCTCTAACTTCCTCAAAATAGCAGATTTTTTTAAAAGATATACTTCACGTTCAATTTGTTGACATCTTACTCGCATATTTTCACATATCCGAAAAGTAATCATCTCCCTGATCTGTTTAACTATATTACAGTATATCATCCTTTCCACTTTTCCAAAAGACAAGAAATATACGTGTTGTTTCCCTCCCCAAAATAACAATGAAAATAAGAAACATGAAAAAAGCGGCTCACAAGATGATAAATCCGTTTTATTCCCTATTCTAAACCGCGTCTGTCCTGCCCCCCCCCCCCCCACCTCCACCCCCACCCACCACCCACCCCCACCCACCTGCGAGAACGTGTCGAAATCCAGGAAAATCTGCCTCTTGGGATCGGGTTTCGGGAGGGCGCTGCGGGCGGGGGGAACCGGCTCCTTCCACGCCCGTTCTCGTTTCCTGATCTTGTGCGCTGTTCTCTTCGGTCTTTGCTGCCTCCTGTCCTTCGCCCGTTCCCGTTCCATGAGCTTGGCGTGGGCGGCATTCCCGTGGGCGCCGCGGGGACCTGGGTGGGCGTCTGCATCTCGGCGCCTCCTTCTGAGATCCTCGAAGGCGGCGGTTGTGCTCTCGACGCCTGACGAGGCCTCCCCGCTGATGCCGGTGGGCGTGGCTTCCGTGAAGGTGTCTCCAGAAGGTGCCTGAGACGCCGAACTTCCCGTCGAGGCCTGATCTGCTGAGCCGCTGAAGGAGAGCTGACTGTCAGGAATTCCCGTCGTAGCCTGGCTGTCGTAGTCTCCTGTCGACGCCTCGTTTCCTAAGGTCCCCGTCGTAGCTGTAGCCGCGGTCGTAGCCTCACTTCCCGGACTCTCCGTTGTCATCTGGCTCGTGTCGTAGCCGTTCGTAGCCTGACTCCCAAAGCTCTCCGTCGTAGCCTGGCTCGGGTTGTCGCTCGTGCCGGTTGTAGCTTGGCTTATAGAATCTGTCGTTACCTGAGTCGTAGACGTACCGGTCGTAGACGGACTCCCCGTGGTTGTCGAACTTGTCCCGACCTCTGTTGTAGACTGACTCCCCTCGTCCGAATACCCGTCGTTGCTAAAAAAGGGGGACCACTCTGCGAAATGTACATGGAGGGTGAATATGCGCCGATTTGCACAAAATGAAAAATGCGGAATATGGAGTATTAAAGGTACGGCTGAATCTTACACGATAAGTGGTGCAAAATCTGTCATTGATCATTCGAGGGAATATTTACCGTTTAAACAGGTATAACAATAAGTGAAATTACTAAAGAAAAATTAGAAATAAGAAGAAATACGAATTTCCTTTTCATAGACGCCAAAGGGTTCTCATTATCATGAAATACGTGAAATGAAATTGATAAATAACTCAGATCTCAGTATCCAAGCTTGGGACCGTCAGCAACATATTTCAATTCCAAAGTAATTTCCTTTTACTCGAAATACATTTAAGAGAAAAGAATATATTATATATATTATATTAAAAAATAGGCCGAATTAATGACGGATAACATCAATAATCAAATTCACGGTTAAAAACAAAGACGAAATATAAACAACCAAAACCATTTCTACGTTTAAACCTCATATCAATAATATCGACATCAAAAGGCATGCGACAACAATAAAGATACCCGGATAAATAAAAAGATAGACACGTGAACAGACAGACTAATGAATAAATAAAT